AACCAAACCATGAGCATTTATGAAGCCAAGAGGCAACACTGGCTCATGCCAGGAACAGCTTTGGTCCTGTTGGAAGCTCAAGCAGCGACCGGCTTTGTCATTGACCCGGTCAAGAACCTGAACCACTCCGTGGATGAAGCGGTCAAAGCCAGGATCATTGGCCCAGAGTTGCACGCGAAACTACTGTCCGCGGAGCGAGCGGTGACCGGGTACAAAGACCCCTACACGGGGAACACCATCTCCTTGTTCCAGGCCCTGAAGAAGGACCTGATTGTGAAGCAACATGGGATTCGCCTGCTGGAGGCACAGATCGCCACTGGGGGCATCATTGACCCGGTGAACAGCCACCGTCTCCCTGTGCACGTGGCCTACAAACAAGGCTTGTTTGACGAGGAGATGAACCGGATCCTGGAAGATCCTGGGGATGACACCAAAGGCTTCTTCGATCCCAACACCAAGGAGAATCTGACCTACTTGGAGCTGAAGAAGAGATGTGTGACTGATCCAGTGACGGGCCTGTGTCTGCTTAAGCTTACAAATGGGCCAGCGAAGAGGCCACACGCTTGCATCGTTGTACAAACTGAAGAGGACTTTAAAAATGTGACAATGCCTATTCCCGGCGGCTGCTTGAACGGGAAGTCTGTCTCAGTCTGGGAAATGCTTCACTCAGATTATTTCAGTGAAGCTCAGAGAAAGGAGCTGATAGAGAGATATCAAAGGAAGGAAATCAACATGCAGACAATCATGACGACCATCAGCACAACCGTTCAAGTAACCAAATCGGAGACCAAGACGTCCATCACGGTGACTGGTCTCAGGGGCCAAGTCCCAGTGGAAGAGTTAGTTACGTGCCAGATTATTGACGGACCGATGCAGGCTGCGCTGGAGAAAGGAACAATGGCGGTAAAAGATATGATCGAGCTCGACTCAGTCAAGAAGTACCTACAGGGTGAGGGCAGCATTGCTGGCCTCCTGATTCATTCCACCCATGAGAAGCTCAGCATCTACCAAGCCATGAAGAAGAGGCTGCTGAGAGAAGGGACAGCTCTAATGCTGCTGGAGGCACAAGCCGCCACTGGTTTCCTCATCGAGCCCGTCACCAACCAAAAGCTCTCGGTGGACGAGGCTGTCAAGGCAGGGGTGGTCGGGCCTGAAATGCACGACAAACTAGCCTCAGCAGAGAAGGCGGTGGTAGGTTATAACGACCCCTACACAGGAGATTTGCTCTCACTCTTCCAAGCCATGAAGAAAGAGTTGATTGTGGAGAGTCATGGCATTCGACTACTGGAAGCTCAGATAGCAACAGGCGGCATCATTGACCCACACTACGCTCTTCGCCTGCCTGTGGAGGTAGCCTACCAGAGAGGCATGTTCGACAAGGAGATGAACAAAGTTCTCTCCGACCCCGGTGATGATACAAAAGGCTTCTTTGACCCAAACACCCAGGACAACCACACCTACTTGCAGCTGAAAGAGAGATGTGTCACTGATCCGGAAACGGGGCTTTGCCTATTGATTGTGACGGATAAGGTGGTCAAAGGCATCGACGTCAAGGTGGAAGTTGACGTCAAGCAAGCCTTTCAGCAAACGATGGTCAGTGTGAAGGTTGGGAGATTCAGTAACCGCAAGGTGACCTTGTGGGAAATAATCAATTCAGAATACTTCACAGCAGAACAATTGGACCAATGGGTCAAGGAGTACAAATCAGGGAAACTCAGCAAAGAAAGCCTGATCGAAAAAGTCACCCAAATCGTCGAGGAGATGGAGAATAAAACAAAGCAAGTTGTCTTTCGAGGCTTGAGACGCGGTGTCTCTGCGCAGCAGTTACTGAAATCCAAGATCATTGACCAGAAAGTCTTACAGCAATTGAAAGAAGGCACAACGTCAGTTGCAGAGGTTTCCCAGCTTGAATCTGTCAAACAATATCTGGCTGGAGAAAAGAGCATCGCTGGAGTCTTTGTGGAGGCCACGAAAGAGATACTGAGCATTTATCAAGCTATGAACAAGGGGCTGCTGAGGCCAGGAACAGCCTTGGTCCTGTTGGAGGCTCAAGCGGCGACCGGCTTTATCATTGACCCAGTCAAGAACCTCAAGCTCTCTGTTGATGAAGCGGTCGAGGCAAAGGTCATCGGCCAGGATGTCTGTCAGAAACTACTGTCCGCAGAGCGAGCGGTGACCGGGTACAAGGACCCCTACACGGGGAACACCATTTCCTTATTCCAGGCAATGAAGAAGGACCTGATTGTGAAGGAACACGGGATTCGCCTGCTGGAGGCCCAGATCGCCACGGGAGGTATCATTGACCCGGTGAACAGCCACCGCATCCCTGTACACGTGGCCTTCGAGCGGGACATGTTCGACGAGGAGATGAATCAGATCCTGGAAGACCCGAGCGACGACACCAAAGGCTTTTTCGATCCGAGCACCCAAGAGAATCTGACCTATCTGCAACTCCAGAAGAGGTGCTACACCGACACGGTGACGAAGCGCAGCCTCCTGTGTCTGAGAGATCACCGCGGCGTGGATAAGCAAACCGTCAACGCGTTCAAAAAGGCCACTTTCTCCGTGACCATTGGTAAGTTTCACGGAGAGACCATCTCCATCTGGGAATGTCTCAATTCGGAATACGTCAGCCAGAGTCAAAGAATGGAGATGGTGCTGCAGTATCAATCGCACAGCATCACTCTCGAACAGATCATCACACACCTCATCAGCTTCATCGGGGTGAGAGAAAGAAAGGAGGGCAACCAGGTTACCGTCGACGGGCTGCGAAAGCAAATCCCTTTGCGGGAGTTGTTTGACTCTCAGCTGATTGGGAGAGAGATGTACGAAGCAGTGGAGAAAGGCACCAAAACAGTGCAAGACATCCTCCAGACGGACTCAGTCAAGGAATACTTGCAGGGCACGGGCAGTATTGCTGGGATAATCCTTCATCCTTCCGGAGAGAAGATGAGTATTTATCAGGCCAATATGAAGAAACATCTCATGGCAGGAACGGCCTTGATCCTGCTGGAGGCTCAAGCAGCGACCGGCTCCTCACCCACAGCCAACATGCACCCCTCACCCCCAGCCGCACGCACTGCCCCTCACCCCCAGCCACAGGCACTGCCCCTCACCCCAGCCACAGGCACTGCCCCTCACCCCCAGCCACACGCACTGCCCCTCACCCCCAGCCATAGGCACTGCCCCTCACAGCCACACGCACTGCCCCTCACCCCCAGCCACAGGCACTGCCCTCACCCCCAGCCACACGCACTGCCCCTCACCCCCAGCCACACGCACTGTCCCTCACCCCCAAGCGACACGCACCCCCTCACCCCCAAGCAACACGCACCCCCTCACCCCAGCCACAGGCACTCGCCTTCACCCCCAGGCACAGGAACTCCCCTTCACCCCCAGCCACACGCACCCCTCACCCCAGCCACACGCACTGCCCCTCACCCCCCCAGCCACACGCACTGCCCCTCACCCCCAGCCACACGCACCCCCTCACCCCCAGCCACAAGCACCCCCTCACCCCCAGCCACACGCACCCCCTCACCCCCAGCCACACGCACCCCCTCACCCCACAGCCACACGCACTGCCCCTCACCCCCAGCCACACGCACCCCCTCACCCCCAGCCACATGCACCCCCTCACCCCCAGTCGCACACACTGCCCCTCACCCCCAGCCACACGCATTGCCCCTCACCCCCAGCCATAGGCACTGCCCCTCATCCCCAGCCACAGCACTGCCCCTCACCCCCAGCCACACGCACCCCCTCACCCCCACACACGCACTCCCCCTCACCCCCAGCCACACGCACCCCCTCACCCCCAGCCACACGCACCCCCTCACCCCAAGCCACACGCACCCCCTCACCCCCAGCCACACGCACCCCCTCACCCACAGCCACATGCACCCCCTCACCCCCAGCCACACGCACGCCCCTCACCCCAGCCACACGCACTCCCCCTCACCCCCAGCCACACGCACCCCTCCCCCCAGCAACACGCACCCCTCACCCCCAGCCACAGCACCCCCTCACCCCACCACACGCACTCCCCCTCACCCCCAGCCACACCACCCCCTCACCCCAGCCACACGCACCCCCTCACCCCCAGCCACACGCACTGCCCCTCACCCCCAGCCACAGGCACTGCCCCTCACCCCCAGCCACACGCACTGCCCCTCACCCCCAGCCACACGCACTGCCCCTCACCCCCAGCCACACGCACTGCCCCTCACCCCAAGCCACACACAACTACAGTCACGATAGTATCTTGAGGGTGACCATGTCAACCAATTTGCATACAATTTGCACAAATGGGATCCCACACAGCAACGTACCACAAACAGGCATAAAGCGAGTGAACAATTTTATCTTTAAATTCCTGACGAAATGTCATCAATCTAAAACGTTAACTTACATTCCTTTGTCCATAAATGCTGCCTGACCTGCTGAGTGTTCCCAGTAACTTCTGTTTTTATTTCAGATTTCCAGCTTCTGCGGTATTTTGCCTTTTAATTTTACCCTGGGAATGTTGGCCAGGACACCAGGAGAGAGTAACTCCCTTGTTTTTTCCAATAATGCCATGTCAAGACAGTCACAGGCTCCGGAATGATTCATTATAATAATAATAATAACAATTATAATAATAATCCTTGCATTTGATATAGCGCTTTTCACGTCGGGAGGACGTCCCAAAGCGCTTCACAGAACGCACAGTAAAGTGAATTGACTGTATATTTGTGGGCGAACGCAGCAGCCAATTGCGCACAGCAATGTCCCATTATCTGCAAGACCCGGGAACAACATACCAATGCCAGACCCAGGAACACCCCCAATCCCAGACCCAGCAACGCTCCTAATCCCAGACCAGGGAACACTCTCAATCCCAGACCCAGCAACGCTCCTAATCCCAGACCCAGGAACGCTCTCAATGCCAGACCAGGGAAGTGACAGGACTCTGCACTGAAGGGACTGGATTCTGCACCAAAGACACGGGACCCTGCAATGTGTCCTGTCCGTGTCTGTCTGAGTCTCCATGTCCTGCCTTATCTGTCTGCGAGGTAATGGCAGGCGGGGAGCTCACCTGTCCTGTCCACTCACCTGTCCTCTCACTATTCTCCACTCACCTGTCCTCACACTATTCAGCACTCACACTATTCTCAACTCACCTGTCCACTCACCTCTCCGTACATTGCTAGCTGCTGCTGGGTTTCGCAGTCTTTATAGCCGAGTCTTCCACGCTCGGACCACAGCTTCTAATCTTAACCAGGGATCAGCTGGCACTCAGCCCAACCAAATGTGTTGACTCACACACAGGAATGTATGTAACATCAGGTTTTCTAGAAACACACCTCAAGCTCGCCAACTCAAGCAGTGCAGCTTTCGAATCACATTCCTTGCTTTTTCCCCCATCATATCTGTGCTGGTGTAATCCCAGTCCTTGCTCTTTCCCCATGAAGTCTGTGCTGTTGCTCGCTCCCACACTGGAGCTCTCTATTCTAATCCCATTCCCTGCTCTTTCCCCATTGTATTTGTGATTGTGTTCAGGCTATTGTCCACACTTACTGCTCTTCATGTAATGTAAATAACATAACATAACCTATAACATAACCTGTAGGAGCAGGAGTAGGCGATTCGGCCCTTCGAACCTGCCCCGCCATTCAATCATGGCTGATCTTCTAATCTAACTCCGGCTAATAACCTGAACCTGCCTTATCCTCATATCCCTTAATACCTTTTGCAATAAGGAATCTATCTATCTCAGTCTTGAATATGTTCAAGGACTGAACATCAACAACCCTTTGGGGTAGCGAGTTCCATAAATCTGAATTCTCTGTCCACCTTCTGTTTTTGCTTAGGTTGCGACCATATTAAACATACAATTTGGGCTTGAAGTCTGTCAGCCTGGGTCAGTTGCATGCATTCTCACAAAAGTGTGGGTTCAAACTCCACATGAGGATTTTGAGCTCACTGGAGCGAGAATCAACAGAGAATCATAGAATTATACAGCACAGAGGAGGCCATTCGGCCCATCGTGTCTCTGCCGCCTCTTTAAAAAGAGCTGTCCAAATCAATCCCACTCCCCCACTCTCTCCCCATAGCCCTGCAAACTTGTCCTCCCCAAATAATTATCTACTTCTCTCTTAAAAGTTGTCGAATCGGCTTTCACCATCCTTTCAGGCAATGCATTCCAGATCCCAACAATTCGCTGTGTGAAAACATTTCTCCTCACCTCCCCTCTGTTTCTTTTAACAGCGAATAGCTCTTTCAATAGCTCTTTTCAGAGACCTGGCACAGACACGATGGGCTGAATGGCCTCCTCTGTGCTGTATAATCCTTGAGCAGAGAGCCCAGCAGCATGAGGGGGGAACTGAGTGAGAATTCTGTTAACGAATTTGGTGAGAGTGGAAATTCGGTGCAGAGGGGGAAAGAGGTATATAATTATAAAATATATAATAGTTATATTAAAATATTATAAAATATGCCTGGGAATATGGCAGGACAGCTGAGACAGGTTGCATGCACAATGTGTGCCATGTGGGAACTCCAGGATGATTTGTGTGCCCTGGACAAAAACATATGTAAGACGTTGCTCGAGCTTAAGATCAAGGTTTCTGAGCTTGAGGAGAGGATGGTGTCACTACATAGCAGAAGGGAGTTTTTTTTGATGAAGTAACGGAGGTAGATGGATGAAGGAGTGCAGTTGATGTAGTTTACATGGATTACATGGGAGTCCTGTAGCTCAGTGGTTAGAGCACTCGCTTTGCAAGTGAGAGACCTGAGTTCAATTCCCGGCAGAGGGCGAAACCTTGGGCAAGTTTCCTTACTCCACACAGAGCCTAATAATAATCCCTCCAAAACCAAAAACAATAATAAATTGGTCATTTTCAATCTACAACTGTTTGTGGGACATTGCTGTGCGCAATTGGCTGCCGCGTTCGCCCACAAATATACAGTCAATTCACTTTACAGTGTGTTCTGTGAAGGGCTTTGGGACGTCCTCCCGGCGTGAAAAGCGCTATATCAAATGCAAGGATTATTATTATTATTATTATTTGATAAAAAGCATTTGATAAAGTGCCATATAAGAGACTTGTAAGCAAAATAGAAGCCCACAGTATTAAAGGGACAGTGGCAGCGGATACAGAACTGGCTGGGAGACAGAAAGCAGAGAGTGGTCTTTAACCAAACCTTACAGTAACAATTATTGGTTTCTGTGCACGAATACTGATTAGTGAGAATCGTTTATTGCCTCTTGATCCTGTAGTTCCTGTCAACTGCCATCTCTGTTTCCAAGCAGATGTTTGCAGTGATAATAATAATAATAATAATAATAATCTTTATGTTTGCTTTATTGCCTTTTCACATCAGAATGAAGCGTCTCCAGCAATGCAGCGCTCCTCCAGTACTGTACTGGAGCATCAACAACAACGCAACTTGCATTTATACATGACCCTTTACACGGGGCAGCTTCTCAGTGGGCATAACAGTGGCGGAGCCTGACCCCGAGCCTGTGCAAATTTCGCACAGCTGTACTTTGGTCACACAGTGCCAATTGGGTACACCTAATCATTGGGTAACAAAAACTGAGAGATGCAAAGAAATCATTTCATATCGAGAATCAAGTTGATAAATTCAGTTCTCCACCCAGTAAATAGAAACCACAAGTGACTTGTCTTCAGATTTTATTTATAGTAGGTGTTCAAGGAGCATTTCAATGCCAATGACATTCACACTTGTAGAGATAATAATAATAATAATAATTCTTGCCTTATTACGAATAAACTGCAGTGCAGTGATTGTATATTTTGTGGGTGAAATGTGGCAGCCAAGTTGCGCACAATGGTATCCCACAAACAGTTTTGGATTAAGTGAACAAAAGCGATCCACCAATCCACTAACAGCCGGGTTCCTACTTACTGCTAGATAAACAGGCGTATGGAGTAAGGAAATTGGTCTAAGCTTTTGAACCAATGTATAATGTTGTTTTGAAGGTATTAAAGAGCCATAAAATGCCCATAAAGCTACACGGCTCAATGGTCTGAGCAGCTCATCGCCTGATGTCTCTCATTCGTCAACAGAGGCTGCAATACTGGGAATCCTGATCCCGGATGCTGGGATGCCATATGCTAACGGTGCTCCCAAAATCCCGGGGTTCATACCGAGACGAGAATCACGGGATTTCGGGAGCATATTAAACAAATTCTGTCCATCGCTGTGTTGTTTTCCTCTCTCTCAACAACAAGAAATTACATTTACATGGCGTCTTTCACATAGGGAGGATGTCCCAAGGCACTGGACAGTCAGGGATTTGGACCCGAGCTGAGGGTTGGGATCAGGAGGGGTTGGACAAGGAGTGTGGGGCTAGGTGGGTGATCGAAGCTATGTTCGAAGAAGAGGTAGGGGGCCTTGAAAGAGGCAATGGAGGGGGCGAGGTGGAGGGACTGTGGAGCTCCAAAAGTTGGGGGTAGAGAGGCTGAAGGGCCGACCACCGATGGTGGGCCGGGCAGGGCGAGGGCTATGAAGCTGCCTGGAGCACACTGAGCGGAGGGAGGGACAGGTATATATGCAGTTAGCAAGTCTCAGTGGGAGGAAGGAACAAGGCCGTGGAGGACTTTGACAGCAAGGATGAAGATTTTGAACTCTCTCTTGTCTCCCCTGCCATGGGAATATGAATATAAAAGACAGCCTATAAAATAGGCTCCTAGAGTCTGGTGTGGGAGAGGACCCGGGTTGTACAGAGTGTTCACAAAATCCTGGTGCCCCTTATTTTTGTCTTACAATGATTTTTTATTTTCTGTTGCAGATGAGTCGGGTGTAACAATATCTGCTGCCAGTAACTTTCTCGTACTTCATCCATGTTACAGAAGATGTGGCACCGAACATGGCAACGGACCTTTATCTGCCATGAAAATGATGGCCCTCACTCGCACCCATCCTCTGGACAGGTGTGTGTGAGTCAATTCACTCTCCCTCTATCCCGGCGCCTTGTCCCCTCCTTCCCCATCCTCAGGTGCTCATACCTGAAGTCTTTCCTCTTTGACAGTGCCTGCGTGCTCAGAAACGCTACCCTGCGTTAAGGGGCACTAAATAAATGCAACTTATTGTTGTTAAGAAGAAATTCTGCGCTCTCTCCTTGTCTAATCACGAACACTTTGCTGCTCCCTATTATCTGATCTCCATGTGACTGGTGCAGAGGCTTGGAACATATATTTGTCTCAGACAATCCCTTGGCGCCTTATTATTTACGCTGTTCCAGTGAAGGGTGGGGCAGAAGCAACATTTCTTGCAATTAACCAAATCTCAAAGGTGGTGGAAATGATGATGTTATCTTAGCAACTTCTTTAGTAAGACAGCTGTAAAAATTTTGCCAGCTTAGCTAAATGTCTGGAACATGTGGAAACCCATCACCACGATTGGGAGGATCCAAAGCAAACAGAATTATTTGCATCCCACCTACACATACAAATTTCAGAGGTAGATTGTTGGAATAGAATGCGTACTCTCTCCCCCCTTACCTAATTCTGGAGAGTATTACAGCAACAACATCCCAAGGCACTGGACGGTCAGTGTTTTGTACCTGAACTGGGGGGTCAGGATTGGGGAGTGTGGAGGGCAGGGGGGGAAGGAGCGTGATTGAAAGCACGATCGAAGAGGAGGGTCTTGAGATGGGTCTTAAAGGAGGCAAGAGAGGAGGAAAGGTGGAGGGCTGCGGGATGGAATTTCAGAGGGTGGGGGCAGAGTGGCAGAAGGCCCGCCCACCAATGTTGGGGCGGGCAAGGCGGGGGACGTGAAGCAGGCCGGAGACCGCTGAGCGGTGGGAGCAAGCAGAATGGCAGGGATTTAGGAGGTCTTAGAGGTGGGGGGGGGGGGGGGAACAAAGCCATAGAGGCCTTTGAAGGTGAGGACCAGGATCTTGAACTGTATCCTCTGTGTGATGGGAAGGTAGTGAAGTTGGACGAGGATGGGGGTGATAGGGTCACGGAGCCTGGTGCAGGAGAGGACACGTGCTGCAGAGTTTTGGATGATCTGCAGCCTATGGAGGGAGGAGTTGGGGGGGCCAACAAATGAAATGCGTGTATAAGGGTTTCGGCGGCCGCAGTGTGAAACAGTGGCAGAGTCGGGCGATGTTGTGGAGGTGGGGGAAGACAGAGCGGGTCATGGCACAGATGTGGGGTAGAAAGAATTGTTGAGTGTCAAACAAGACACCAAGGTTCTGGACTGGCTTAGTGAGGTGGAGTGTACATCTCCACCTTTCTAAGAGGTGCAGTTTGGCGAAAGCCAAGGCTTAGGGAACTCAGATTGTCCATTGGGGTAACTGCTGGTGCCTAACCAGATCAACGCTCATTGGTTGTCATTGAAAGCACTGTATGGCAAGCTTTCCCACTGTTTGTCCAACTAGGACCACCCTACCTGTTAGGGCTTTGGCTTCCTGGATTAACAGGAGCTGAGTGGGAGGATTCCCTACCTCCACCTGCCCTTCCAAGTCCTACTGATGAGCCACTGTGCTGTCATCAGCAATGCTCTGGAATACTGCAGACCCATCTGGCTCAGGAACCAGACTGGAGACTGTCACAGAGAGTTGACATGATTCTGACATTCTATTGCTAAACATGTCACCTTGGAGCCAGCTCAGCTCCAAAGAGGCTCCCACCTATCCCTTCGAATCCCACTTAATCCTGAACCACACTTACCGCTGAACCCCAATTACCCCTGAACCCCACTTACCCTGGAACTCCCAATTACCCCTGAACCCCCACTTACCCTGGAACCCCCAATTACCCCTGAACCCCCACTTACCCTGGAACTCCCAATTACCCCTGAACCCCCACTTACCCTGGAACCCCCACTTACCCCTGAATGCTGCTCATACTCAGAACTCTGCTCATGCCTGGTACCCTGTACATCCCCAAACCCCGCTTACCTTCAAACCCCACTTACTTACCCTGTGAAACTGGGTAGGGTGGAGGTCAGAGGGAGAGGTGACCGATGGCATGGTCGAAGAGGAGGGTTTTGAAGCAAAAAACAAGAGAGAGAGAGAGAATAAATTATAGACAAGATTCCCAATCCTGGTCTTTGCATCATGTACTTATGACTACTTAAGAGGAGGATTTTGAGGCGGGATTTGAAGGAGGCTAAGGAGGGGACGAGGCGGAGTGATTGGGGATCGAATTCCAGAGGTTGGGGGCAGAATGGCTGAAGGTCTCCCACCAATGGTGGGGTGGGTGGGTCAGAGGACATGGAGCAGGCCAGAGCCGGCTGAGCAGAGGGAATGGGCGGGTTGGTAGGGGGTTAGGAGGTCGCAGAGGTAGGGTGGGGTGAGGCCACGGTGGAGTTTGTAGGTGAGGATCAGGATCTTGAATTGGATCCTCTGAAAGATCGGGAGCCAATGGAGTCAAGCGAGAGTGGGGGAGATGGGGTCATGGAGTTTGGTGCGAGAGAGGACACGGGCTGCGGAGTTCTGGATTATCTGCAGCCTGTGGAGGGAAGAGTTGGGAAGGCCGACAAGCAGGGAGTTTGCATAGTCAAGCCTGGAGGTGATGAAGGCATGAACAAGAGTTTCAGGGGCCTGAGGGGTGAGGTAGTGGCGGAGTCGGGCGATGTTACGGAGGTGAGGGAAGACACACACACACACACAGAACCACAACAACAACTTGCATTTATATAATGACCCTCACCCAGGCTAGCATCCCAGAGCGCTTGACACACACGTACACGTATGATGACTGGGCTGGGATGTGAAGAACACTAGATATGCAAAGAAGAAAGCTGTTTTGTTTTGCGGATTCACACAACACATTTAATATTTCTATAGCGCATTATTATTAACAATAATAATTCTTGGATTTGATATAGCGCCTTATCACGTCTTTGAGACATTCAAAGCACTGCGCAGAATATACTGTAAAGTGAATTGACTGTGTATCTTGTGGGCAAAACGCTGCAGCCAATTGGGCACAGCAGTGTCCCACAAACAGTCGTGGATTGAGTGACTAAATTATTCGCTTGTTTAAAAGGGGTTAATACCCCTGGAAAATTAATTGTCCAATCAACTAGCACTCTGGTTCCTACTTACTGCTTAGTAAACAGATACGCAAATCAAATGCAAGGATTATCATTATTATTATGTGTGGAGTGAGGAAACCCGCCAAACTATTCATCTTTTCCAGGAATCAAACCCAAGTGCTTTGAGGTGAGTGCTCTAAGCAATACATTACAGACTTCCATTGGTATTATCTGAAAGGAATTGACAGAAAATGACTATGTAAGCAAGTCAGAAAACAAGTTCCCAACCAAGAAGAATCACCAGCCGCTTTTTGCCAACGCACGTTGAGGCACACCCTTCTCTTGACCACAAAGTGATTCATTTATGTTCAACCAAGCAGGCAAATAAAAGGACCTTCATCTGATGTCTCATCCAAAATATGCCCCCCGGCACTGCACCTGGAGCATCAGCTTGTTTACGTTCTAAGGACAGTCCAGACTATCGCGGTTCACTCGCCACTGGAGCTCTCTCCTCTAATTCCATTCTTCTGCTCGCTCCCTATCGTGTCTGTGCTGGTGCTCGCTCTCCCACTGGAGCTCTCTACTAAAATAATAATACTACTAATAATACAAATCCTTGCATTTCATATAGCGCCTTATCACATTTTCGAGACGTCTCAAAGCGCTTCGCAGAATATACTTTATGTTCAAGATCCTCATCCTCACCTACAAGGCCATTCACTGCCTCGCTCCCTCCTACCTCTCTGACCTACTATCCCCCTACCTACCTGCCCGTACTCTCCGTTCCTCTGGCTCCGGTCTGCTCCACATCTCCCGCCCCAACCGCCCTACCGTCGGTGGCCGGGCCTTCAGCCTCTCAGCCCCGAGGCTCTGGAACTCTATCCCCCAGTGCCTTCGCCACTTCCTCCCTTTCCTCCTTCAAGGCCAGTCTCAAGACCTTACTCTTTGACCGTGCCTTCAGCTCCCCTCTCGACTCTCTACCCCCTCCTCGCCCCTCCCTTCCCTCCCCTCACCCTGACCATTTCTCCCCAATGCTCGGGTCCTGACCCAACTGTCCAGCGCCTTGGGACGTCCTCCTGACGTGAAAGGCGTACTATAAATGGAATCTTGTTGTTGTTAAAGTGAATTGACTGTGTATTTTGGGGCAAAACGTGGCAGACAATTGCACACAGCAGTGTCCCACAAACAGTTGTGGATTGAAGTGACCAATTGTTTTTTAAGGAATTATTACCCCTGGAAAAGAGATCCCCCAATTGACTAACAACCGGGTTCCTACTTACTGCTCGGTAAACAGAGGCTGTGGAGTAAGGAAACTTGCCCAACATTTCGCCCTGCGTGGGAATCGAATCCACGTCTCTCACTTGTGAGGTGAGTGCTCTACCCACTGAGCTACAGGACTCCACATAATCCCATTCCCCCGCTCTCTCCCCGTTGTGTCTGTACTGAAACGCTCTAATCCCGTTCCCTATGCTCTTTCCCCATCGTGTCCTGCTAAGTGCTTTGAAACGTCCTCCTGATGGGACGCTGTATCAAATGCAATGGTTGTGACCCAACAGCACAGCAAATATTTGATACTGCCTGTAAGTATGATGTGAAGATGGCGGATGGAAGGGTGTTGACAGCCAAATTCGTGGAAATGATTTTGCAGAGAGAGAGGCGGGTAGTTCCATTGAATTGGGAATAGAATGGGTAGTAAATAAGGACAGGGCAAATACATATGTAAGAGCCATAAAACCATAAAATATTATGCCATAGAAGAAAGCCATTCAGCCAACGCTGGCTCTTCTAAAAACAAATCTGTCAGAACTATTCAATAAAAATAATCCTTGAATTTGATATAGTGCTTTATTACGTCGTTGCAACGTCTCAAATTCTTCACAGAATATAATGCAAAGTGAATTTACTCTATATTTTGTATTAGGATGATTTTAATTTACTTTTTCAATCTTATTTAAAATGTTGCATGCCTTTCCGAGATTTCCTCTGGATCATTATTGGAAGATTAAGAGATGGTTACAATCATTCTTTTATTGCTTTTATTATTAATTATTAATAATAAAGATGATCTTTATAT